CTGCTGGACTTTTATCCACAAGTTGACCTCGTGGAGCTCTCGAAAGTATACCTTGTTCTTGAGTACATCGAGGAGGAACAAACTTCAAGTGTGGATTCTGGGAAAACGTGGCACATGGTTTTTAAAAGACCGTCCCGATGTCAGTATTCTTGGCTGCTGTTTTGATTGAGATCCTTGCTTAAAATACTTGGATTAAAACATAAAAAATAATTTTAATAAAATAATAATATAAATGGCATTGGACTTGAATAAAAGTTGAGTTCTCTTACTTTTTCGCGAGAAACAGGATCAAAGTCGGACCGACTTTGTAAAGGATCAGGCATACAATGGACTCCGGACTAGGTGCGTTCCTCTAAGTTTTCCTATCCGTCCTTTAATCCATTTAAGCGAACTGGGCTGACTACTTTGTTGTTCAACAGATTTCTTCTCCGTACCGTTTACTCAGGACTAGCACTTTATGATATTGTGAAATTGTGAAATCAGCCCCAACGAGGGGATTCGGAACCGGTTGATGCTCGTCAAGCGGTCAAACCAAAACCCTCACATGTTCAGCTGATTAGTGACGCATCATGAAGCTCATGGAAATCCAGATTCTGAATTTCCTCCAACCTTGTGCCTTAATAACAAATAATAGTTATAAACAATGATGATAAATAATATTATTTTACTATTAGTATTATATATATATATATGACAAATAAATCATGCGATTATATTCTCCTTATTGCTTTTCCATAACTTTGTTTTGGCCCCATACTTCTGGTAGGTGAGTGTGTTCAGGAAGCTCTCGGTGAGTCCGCCTCTCAACGTGGCGGCCACTTTAGTTTATCCCTCTCATCCAGCACCTGGTCAACAAGTCCGCTTGGCGCTGCCATCACATCAAGTTGCTCCACTACTCCAACCCTACGAGATAGCACCAAATTGACCAGACATTCGTCATCTCTTATGCCTGTATCTCCCTGTACCAACGGTACCAGTGCGGCAGCCACGGCTGCTGCCGCAGTTGCAGCCTTCTCTGGTCCCTATGGCAACAGCCTTGGAGACAGTGGTTGTTGCAGTAGTAGCAGCAGTAGTAGCAGCATTGTGAGACCGGCCAGCGAGTCAGCCTGTCGAGTGCCATCCCTACAAATGACATCTTCCTATGAATCTGGCCTGGCAGCCGGATGCCGGGCTCATCTGGCTCCCCAGTCGCCACCAGCAACCGCTTCTA